TGAATTGTGTGGTATAGTGGTTCATATGCATGTCTTTCTGGTGTTGTGTTCCACCCAGGTTCAAATCCTATTGATTTCATTTTTTTCTATATTTTAGAAGCACACCTAAACTTTCAAAATTGATGACATGGAATTGATGGAATGATGTGGATAAGCTGATGTACGTGGCGCCCAGCAGTGATACTGAGGTGACATGGCAAAAAATACCCCTATTTGGGAAATAAGTTTAAAAGTACCTTAGTTTGGGAAAAAATTCCTTAAAATTGCACCGTAAGTGCTTTAATGAACTTCCACTATCCCATATATTTAGCTTCTTGCACCGTTAGTGCTTTTCCTAGCAAGTCATATCACATAACTTCTTTTTTCCTTTTTTTAAGTACTTAATTCTACTCCTATATTTCTTAGTTCCTAATATACTCATTATTGTACGTATTTTTTTTTTTGTTTAGATTCATTTAATTAGTAGAGAAGCTTGGAAGATTTTGTCCATTTGGGAATCTACAAGCACTAAATTTATTTAGGCACTCCTAAAATAAATTAACTACGATTGTATATTCTATTTTATAAATATATTTGGTATATATGCACTTTTTGTTACTTTTTGGTGCACTATTATTATTATTATTATTAGTATTATAATAATAATAATAATAATAATAATAATAAAATAATAATAATAATAATAATAATTAGTATTATTACTATTATCATTATCATCATCATATCATTATCATCATTAGTATTATTATTATTGTTGTTGTTGTTGATTTTGTTGATGTTGTTGTTGTAATTGCTATTATAGTTAAAGTGAAAATTAGTTTTTTTTAAGAATAGTTATGCAAATGTAAACGATAAAAGTGGACAATAATATTCTTAAAAATGCATATATATTTACTTTTAGGTTTCCAAGTGCATTCTAATTTCGTTAATGATAGAAGTGCAAAATTTTGTGATAAAAGAGCACCCCTCGAATAATAAAAGTGCACATTAATTTTCATTTGATGAATGAGAAAATATATTATGACTCCTCTTAGTATAAGTTATTTTTCGAATATGAAGTTAAGAATGTCACATATATATCATTGAAAATAGTTATATTATCGGGGTTTAAAAATAAATGTAAAGATATAAATGATAAAAGCGTAATAATATTTCTAAAAGTGCATATGTAGTACTTCTTGATATGTAGTTACGTTCTATCGTACCATAGTTAATGAAAAAAGTGCATAATGGTGTTGATATGAGTGCACTACTAGAAAACTTAAGTTGCACGTTCATTTTCATATAAAGATGTAAAATATAAAGTTTTCTAACAAACTGAACTAGATCACACACACACACACACACACACACACACACACACACACACACACACATATATATATATATATATATATATATATATATATATATATATATATATATATATAGGGAATAGATCCCATGAAAACACCCTCTAACATGAAAAATGGGAAAGAATCCCAAACGTAGATCTGGATGAATCGTACGTCTATTTGGAAATATCCTTTGTAGATACGGTGGACCGCATTTGAGAGAATTATTTCCTTGAATGACCACTTGTAATGATTCGGACGCTGAAGGTCATATTAGTCAATCGATTCTCTTACCATTTTTAAAACGAATCAATTAACCGGTATTGCAAGCCGTAATACACCAATACCGAAATCACGCCTTCCAATTAGCCATTAATGTGAAGCTGCTGAAGTAGGAAAGTGCAGAGACAAGTTTGATTATTCATCCGTATCCAAGAGTGCTGTGCAGAAAGTGGAAGCGCAGAAAGGAAGAATTTCGTGAAGAGCATGGCGCAAGTTGAAGAAGAGAATGATGCGAGAGAGGAACAGACAAGCGACGGAAATCGTAAGTGCTGTATTTGTTCTCAATTAATCTTAAAATGTGAAGTTCTAGAAGGAATATTAGTAAAAATGTGATTTGTGATTGTGCATGTTTGAAAACGATGAAAAAAGCTGGTAATATGTTGGGTTTGTAATGTGAAGGAGCAGTTGCGTGTGAGTGGGTACCGGAAACGTTGAAAGCTCTTCTTCTGTAAAAATGGTGAAGCCAAATGTTTGCAGAAGAGAGAATGAATAGCGTTTGCGGCGTGAAAGAAAACAAAATATTATAGAAGTGGATTGTATAATAAATTGAGTGTAGACAATGTTAATTCAATTTTTTTGGTATAATATATATATTTGAATTTGAGTGGATAAACATGAAGTTGTAATGCATATTGAAAATGTGCAGTAAGGATAATTTAACAGAACACGAGTGAATTCATGGGTGTGAAGTATTAGAAAAAGGCTTTAATGCATAAAGCATATATTAAGTAAAAAAGGGACAGTGTATATATGTATGTTTGAAAAACGAGTGATATGAATGTTGAATTTGATAGTCAACATGGTTGATTAGTTAATTGAATTCCATATAATAGGATTCTGTGTATGGAATTGTGGTACCAAAATCACTATTTTTTGTTTGAAACACATATAATTTATTATAAGTTTGGGTGTAGAAAAGGCATTACAAAATATAGCTGCATAATTTTTGTTTGTTTTTTAGTAGATGAAACATGTGGTTTTAGTGCACATTGAAAGTGGAGAATGTGCAGTAGGGATAAATAGACACATAAGTAGTGAAGTAATGGGTGTGAAGAATTATGAATGGATTTGAATTGATAATGGATAGAATAGGTGGAAAAAGGAAAGTGTGTATAAGTATGTGTGACAAATTAGTAGTTTGAATTGAAGTGTTTTTATATAGTGGAGATGAGTGAGTCATGTATGATTTTAAAAGCAATTTAAATTTGTATTATAACGAGCAATGTAATAGTTTAGTTGCGGATGGGAAAAATATATTTTTGATTTGAAATAGTGGAAGTATTATTGAAAATAAGTGGCATTGAGTAATACATTTTTTGGTGGTAATGAAATTGTAAAAAGTGAACTGACACGTTCAAAGTAAGAATGGTATTGGAGATTAAATTAGTGAACAGTGTGAGAAATGTAAAAGTTTATTTGGGAATGGAAAAAATAAATTTTTAATTTGAAAAAGTGAAAGTATTAATGATAATATGAGGCAGTGAGTAATACAATTTGAGCTGGTAATGACGTTGTAAAAAGTGAACAGACACGTTCAATGGAAGAATGGTATTGGAGAGTGATTTAGTGCACGTAGTGTGTGTTATGTTAAAGTGTACATGTAGTTATTAGATGTGCAAAACTTTTCTATACAAGTTCTCACGTTAATATATGTATAATGTATACAGGTGTGGAGGAAGCAACAAGAGTGATTACAAAGAGGAAGAAAAATCCAGTACATGTTGCGCAAAAGAACACAAAAAGGATGAAAGTGCAGTGTGTGAATGCGAAATACAAAAGAAAAAGTAGAAGTGCAACTTGCAATACTTCAAAGAGATTGAACTTTGACGAGGACGAGAATGATAGTTGTGAAAGTGAACATGAAACAGATAGCGATTACGTGGAAAGAGTTGATAATTCAACTGATGATGATTTTGTTGAGGGTCCAGAGATGCGTATATGTAAGGAGAAGGTTGGAGGGAATAATGTTGGATCAAAAACTGGTGGGAAGATCAAAAAGCAACACAAACTACGGGATTTGAAGTCAAAATTCAAACAAATGAGAACAAGATCATCACCATTTCTGCTGTCGCAAGCAGTGAAGCAAATGAATGAAGCGCAGCGTGCTGCCGTAAAAGAGATTGGGTTTGGAGGTCTATTGCATCTTGATATTTTGGAATTACCCTCAACATTGAGTTTCTGGGTAGTGCAACATTATGATGCTCGCGATGGCAAGATAACGGTGGCAGATGGGAGTAAGGTGAAAATCACCGCGAAAGACGTGCAGAGAGTTTTGGGATTTCCTAATGGAGGGAGAGAAATTAAAAAGAAGAAAAAAAGAGAAGAATGTGCACTGCTACACGAATGGAGAGGAATGTTTGGGAAAGAGGATAACTTGATTACACCAACGGTGGTCTGCAGTGAAATGATGAAGTGTACAGATGCCGGTGACTGGTTTGTGCGTCATTTCTTGGTTCTGGTGGTGTCCCTTTTGGTGGATAGTACACAGAATGGGTACGCCAATCCGTTAATTCTGAACAATTTAGAGGATGTGAAGGGCATTAAAGAGCTTAATTGGTGTGACTATGTTATAAGTTGTTTGATAGAAAACAAAAGGACATGGGAAAGTAATATCAACAAAAGCTACACTGGACCACTACTATTCTTGCTGGTAAGACACATTTAGGTTTAAAATAAATTAGTTCTTGAATAGATATATTAAAATGAAAAATAATGTGGTTTCAAATAATGACATTGACATGTTTGGTGCAGATGTTTTATGTGGACATAGTAGTTCTGTATAAAAGAAAGGTTCCCCGGATGTGTCCAACAATCAAAGGATGGACAACAAGACTTTTGAGGGATCGGGAGAATGATGAAGTGAAATCAGGAGGCTTTGGGTTTGGGGATGTGGACGGCCCTGTAAAGAAAGAAAGGAAATGCAGTGATGAAGAGTTTGAATATGGCAACACAAGGCAACAGGCTGTCATGGAGTGTGAAGAAAGTTTGGGCGAGGTATGATTTGTATTAAAGGTACCATTATATGAATTTATTGTAAAAGTTAAAGTTGATAGGTGCTAAAAGTGTATGATTTGTATTAAAAGTAGCATGAACTGACTTTAATATTACATATAATAGCAGGACTTGATGGTGAAGTTTGCCAAAAAAACAAATGTACTTGTTCAAGCTACAAGTGACATAATGTTGATGTTTGAAGAGGCACGAGAAGTCGTAGTGGGTAGTGAGGACTTTGTTAAAGTGCTAGATTCTGCGAACAAATTGCTGGGGCTTAACACATTGACCAGAGATCGGTGCACACCAACTGGGGTGCAAACAAATGTGATTAACGAGGTTGATGCATTCTGGTCGAACCCGGTGAATATTTCAACGCTTGACAACGTCGCCAACGCTTTCGTGCAAAAGGCAAATGACAATGATAAAATAAGTGGTGTGCCTAGCTTCAGTATAGGCTTGACACAACCGGATGGTGATGGTGAGCATGTCATTCCAAACAATACGCATCACGAGGACATTAGTAAGGTTAGTAAAAATAGCATATTAGTAATTGAATGTGGATATAGAGTAATGTCATTACACAAAATGAGATATTAATATAAATTTGAATTGCGTGTGAAGTATGTGATTGATTGACAACATTTGTGTAATTTTGTATGTGTTAAGGTGAATATAGAAGAGGAAGGGGATAAAAAACAGGCTGATGTTGCAGAAGAGATACATAAGAGAAAGCAAAAGACAACACGGTTCCTAAAGTCACCATACGTGTCAAGAGTGGTTGATGCAGCAGAACCTACAAAGATGTTTGAGCGGGAGATGGCGAGGTGGCTTTTGCAAGGGGAAGGAGCTGACATGTAAGTACTTTTTTTTAGTAAATAGTAATTCAAAAAATGTGATGGTTTAAATGCACAGGAAAGAGAAAGTGTTCAAATATAAGGACTACAATGTCACGCGGGAGGATTTGATGACAATAAAGGGAGGGTGTAAGATCAGTGAGCAGGTTTTGAATGTTTGGGTAACTGTTCTAAACTACAGAGAGAGAAATAGGAGCACCTTCTCGCCTTCTCGTTTATTTGCAAAGACAATGAATTGTGTAAGTGATACGTGTGATTAGAATAGATGTATAATGTTATATGGTTTTGTGTAATTGCTTGTAATGAACTGTAGTTGTACACAATGGCTGATGAGGTGGTGAAAACAAAGGAGGAGGTATATAACATACTAACTGATGCAGTGGAGTTTGGACTTGATGTGGTGAGGCAGGATGTTGACCTGGACAAAATAGATCTAGTAAGTGATAAATTTTACTGTACAGTGTAGAAGTGTATCATAAACATTTAAAATATTCTTCGTTGATTGTGCAGTTCTTTTTCCCTATAATGCAAATGAGGCATTGTTATGTCATTTGCGTGAATCTGAAGCGCAAGAGAATAGACATATTAGATAACTCATCTGCTAGAGTCTCAATGAGGGATAAATATGAAGAAATGCCAGCAGATGTGGTAAGAAAAGTATTTCAGAACAATATGATTTTGAAAATTAGATTATGCACATTAGGAGAACTATATAATTTTCTGAAAATTAGTATTTCAGAAAATGGTTAGTAATTTGGTATAATTTAATCAATTACAGGTGTCGGCATTTGTGGAGTACTTGAAAGCAAAAGGAATGGAGAACACAGCAGCACCGTTGCCCAAGACAAAACCAACCCGAGTTTCCATGTCTTGGAGGGATACGAGTAATGTCATTGATTATGGGGTGTTTGCAATGCGTCATATGGAGACGTATAAAGGCGAAGGACTGACGGGGTGGGATTGTGGACTTAGACATGAAGACCAGAAGCAGATATTAGGACTAAGGGTTAAATACGCAGCTGCTGTTTTACTGGAAGACATAAATGAGCTGAAGACTGAGAATTTAATCAAGGCAAAAGAGTATGCAAAGTTGAAGTCTAAGAAGTGATTTATGCGTTTTCAAAACAATTAATGTTTTTGGTTGTTTGTTGGTGTCTTAAAACATTTATTAAGTTCATTTAATTTTTGCTATTATGGAACATGTGAACTCATACTAATATGGTTCGTTAACAATTATTTGTCTGAGTTTATGTTGGAGTATAGACTATGTGGATTGAACTAGCTGGATGGATGTGGTTTTATTAGTAATGTATAAGTGCATAGTACTAAGATAACAGTGAATCTATGTGTTATTTAAATGAATGAATAGTACGCACACTTCTAATGCAGGAAATTACACGTTAATGTCCTGTGAATACGGAAATTCAGATTATGGTTTTGGTGGTTTATGCCATTAAATTGTATTAAAGTGGAGTTCGAAAAAGTGAACCTAAAAAGGATTAAAATGCTTTAATAAAAGCACAATACGAATTACTTAAAATCAAAAATTTTGGGTACGTGAATCAAGTTTTTAAGAGGTGAGGTCGATTTATGGTAATACTACTTATTGGATTGATTTTTTAAAATATAGGATGAACAGTTAAGAATTGTGAATACAAGGTTCGCTAAAGTGAAAAACAGCAAATGTGAAATTATGTAATGTCTGCACACTGGTAGTTTATGATCGACAACGTTTTTAGATGAACGAATGGAATATGTGAATATAATGAAGATTGTCTAGGCTTTGGGTGAAGTATATAGAAATGATGACTGATATTAAACAAGTCGAAATGCGATAATAAAAATCAATACTAGATTAAACTAATTCGTGGAATATGTGTACACAAAATATGTGTACACAAAATATGTATTGGCATCTAATATGTGGTTGCATAGTGGTAAAATGATTTTTAAATATTCATTGCACATGTAAATAGACAAGAAAGCCAATACATTTGTAGACAAAAACAACAATGACATATGAAATAGGTATAATGAAGTGTGCGGAAAATACATGAAACTGAATTGTGAAAGTCATAATCTTTATTTGGACTGGTGGTTGATAAAAAATTTGAAGTAATCCCAAGAAATGCAAATTGTAAACATATGAATTTAAAACATGCAACTGAAACATTCTTAAAGAGCACTATTCTTTGGACAATTTCTACTATCATGATATGACATTTCATTGCAACTTCTACACAACCGCTTCGCACGTTGGCTCTGAGCAACAACCAACTCTTTAGCACCTTTAATTCTCTTACCCGAACCTTTGTTGTGTGCTTGAGGAGGTTGAAGAACATTCACTGAAGTGGGTGCGGAGGAGCCAAAAAATGGCTGAATTACACTAGTTTTGTTGGTTAAAGATTGTGCATCTTGCATTGTAGATGCAATAATTTCCTTGTTTTGTGTGATCAGTGATGCAAACTGTCGCAATAGAGAAGGATCGTTTTCTACCATTGCAACACATGAATGAATATCACACCACAATTGATTAACAACAAACTTCTTTTCCTCCAAGGCTGCACTTTGTTGAACCACTGCATCACCGATATCAAACAATGGTTTTATACACCCTTTCTTAAACCAGCGTGTGTTTAAGAGATCAGCTGGGATGCATTCAGATTTGAAATCTTTGAGCACAACGAACATATGCCTGCAAACCAAACCTAGACGTAGAAAATATTTGCAGCTGCACGTCAAATTAGTGGCATCCGATTTACAATGAACAGTAAATCTCAAACCACGTTCATCAGAGATCAAATACTCCAAACAATCTTCGTTCTCACGTAGGCTTGTAACACGACATGAAAAACACGCGGAACAAATCTCAGACTGCACATCTGAAAAAATAGTGAGTGTGTATACTGTTGCGGCATATCGTTCGATAGCTAGTGGCGTCTTGTATGTTGGAAAGTAAGACTCACAATCAGCATTTAGTTTTGCATTAGAGTGCCGTTGTGCATCCATGGCACTCTCAAATTGCATGTAGAATTCAACCAGGCTAAAGTGAGGATTGGAAAATTCACCAAAAAAGTTGTTCTCGCTCTCAGATCTGGATGTTGTACGAAGTAATCCCGCCATGTACAAATCCCTAAAATAAGAAGGAATCCAATCCTTGCGGATGTCATACATGTTTGAAAACCAAACATGATTTTGCAATCCAAATTCCTCCATTATGGAGGTCCATTTTTTCTCAAACACATCAGGTTCTAGATAGTGGCTCCACACAACATAGTTTAGCTTAGACATGAATTCAGAATTCTTACTCAAAACAGGGCCGACCTTGGATGAGACTTTAGACATTATATGCCACATGCAAAAGCGATGGGCAGATGTTGTAAACACCTTAGTGAATGCAATTTTCATGGATGGGTCTTGATCCGTGATGACACAAATTGGTTCACGACCCATTGCATCAAGAAATTGTCTAAAAATCCACACATATGATTCCACGTCCTCCTTTAACAATAGCCCAGCTGCGAAAGTGACACATTTCTTGTGATTGTCAACACCTGTGAATGGAGCAAAAACCATATTGTACCTACATGAATATGATACAATTCATTAAAACCAGATCATTTATATAAAACTATAACATGTATACAGAAATTAAAAAATAAAAATGGTTTTAAAATATTTAATTGTGTACAGGAGCATGTTTGTGTAAGTAAAAGAGACTGTTTTCCGATTCAGTTTACTAGTGGATCATAGGTGGGAAAAAAGTGCAGTCATGTTTGTAAACAGTGCATTAAGGGAATGACATCGTGGATCTACAAAAAATAATATGATAACAACATGCGATTAAAAAATATGTTGCCTGTTTGTGCCATATGTTGCATCAAACGAAACAACATCACCAAACATGGTATAGTTAACCCTAGCAGTCGGGTCGCACCAGAAAAGCCTAGTCAATATGTCATTTTCATCTACGTCATAATTAAAAAAATAGGCGGAACAAACTTCTTTTTTTCTAAACAACTTCTCAATTAGCATCTGTGCATCCACACCAGCAATGTATGCCTTCAAATCCCTTTTAAAGTTTTTAAAGTCAACGGACGTTGCACCGATATTAGAATATCCACCAACGGATTCCTTATATAATCTATAACATTTCATGGTGCCAATATTAGCCTTTGTACAGTTCACAATGAACTTTTGGTGGCCAATATCCAAACTCCTATTCACCTTCAAAAATGGTTTCGCTAAATTAGATCGCATAGGATGATTATGACGCTCTTCAAAGCCAAACACTGAGTATCCACGCAGGCCACAAAATTTGAAAGCAATGTGCGCTTTACATCCAACTCTATTGGATAACCGGCATCTCTTTTTTGGATTGGGATCCTCAGGTTGGTTGCTTTGTTCTGCCACCGGGTAGTTTATAGGTGTTTGACTATTTCCATTTTGAGGTGTTTGGCTATTTACATTCTCTTTGAACCCCGCTCTACTACAAACGACATACTTCAACTTTAATGTACCATCCCTAGCTTTTGAAGAAGTACCGAGGCGAATACCAAAACCAGTAATTGCAGCATACTCCTTATAATATGCAATACCCTCCTTCAAACTTTTAAAAATCTGACCAATATACGGCTTCACATCATCATTACAATTGGGAATCCAATATTTGGTCTTACCGGGTGATATTTGCAACTTAGAACAAATATCGGGTGATGTAGGTGAAATTGGAGTGTCGTTATTGAAGAAACTAGCAGAAGAAGAGTGAACATAGGAGTCTGCATGTATAGAATATTTGGGATTATCATTAAAAAAATTAAAGAAAACACAAACATGAGAACATTTTTTAATCACAAAATGCGGGAGTGACTTATGGTGATATTTAAGTGCAGATAAATAAGAGCAATGGTGCATTACAAAATTTAAATGGTGGATACAAAACACCAGAAAAGACAATGTACAGGGCCAAAAAAAGAAGGAACATAGTCCGGATTAAGAAAGTTGAAAACGATAGACCATACGACGTTGCATGAGTGATAAAAACGTAAAAAAAGATTAACAAATCAAATATCAACTTCAAATGATATAAAAGTAGTGCACTAAAATAACATACATACCGTTCTCCATTAAAGGATACCCAATAACACTTTGAATAACATAGGATACAAAGGAGAGATGATATGATCTTTATTAGGATTAGGTAGAAGTCTTGAACAGCCACGTAATTTGGTACGTAATGCATTCAAAACAAAACAAATATTAGTTACATATAAAACAAATTAAAAATAAAATAAAAAGGATCGTACGTAATAATACCTGGGTTGAGCTTGGGCGATCGTACGTAATAATGTTAAGAGCAGAAGAAGATACAAGCCTGCGGCAGAAATGGAAATGAATAAGCCGATGGAAGATGATGAATGTAATATGGAAAGTTATTAATCAAGAAAAAAACGGCAAGTTATTAATCAAGGAGCAAAATAAATTCACTTACCATTATGGAGCTTTGGTAAAATGGAAGGAAATAATTTGGAAGGACAATAATACCCCATGCGCAATGCTTCAAATCAAGGTCATCCTTTTACCTACGTAAGAAATTAAATGGATGAGATGACTTCTCATTTTTCATGATAAGAGGTGTTTTTATATGATCCTAAATCTATATATATATATATATATATATATATATATATATATATATATATATATATATATTGCTAGAGTAAGGATCGATCATATGAGAATATCATCTTAGGAGGAAATAAGAATGATTCTGGAACGTTGGATTTGGGTATTGTGCATCATGCATGTAAAACAAAAATGTGCATATAAAAAATTGGAAAATGTGTATTTCAACTTTGCAAAAGTTTAAACGTAAATTTGCACATTTGAATTTTGCATTATTTAATTATAAATGTGCATTTTCGTGAATGATAAAGTGCATCATTTTGGAACGTTCTCATTTCTCACGTCAAGAAATGTTCTGATCGGAACTGCACTTATTATTGTTAAAACATTTATATCATAAATTGCATAATACTTTATGTATGAATAAATGTGCACATGCATATCATAAAAGTGACCAAATATATGTTTAAAGGTGTATGTTATTTCTTTTAGATATGTAAATGCACAATTGTATAGTTAAAGATAAAAGTGCATAACTTAGCAATATGAGTGCACAAGTAAAATAATATATTTGCATATTTTGGAGAAGACATTGCATAGTGTAAATGTTACGAAAAGAATTTATATGCATTAACTAATTAAAAAATAACACTAAAAGAAATAAAACGAAAAGAATTTATGTGCATTAACGGATTAAAAAATAACACTAAAAGAAATAAAGCATGTTTAAAATTGAGGGCAACATGAAAAAGTAAAGAACAAGTTGGTTAAGAGTAAAAGTGCACTATGTATAATACTCCGTACTTCGTAAGTAATAAGTATTCCGTACAATTATTGTTTCATGTAATTTATTGATTTTTATATTCATTTATAACCGCATGTATATTAAAGGAGAAAGAGTAGACAGTTATGTTAAAGTCAAGTGTCCGATAGTTGTCTAAAATTTTGACTAATTACATTTATGCCACCTTCAAAAATCCAATTGCTACCGTAGATCATTTATTTTGGATGAGTGTGATTTGTTCTTATTTCTCTCCTAAACCATCATTCTTACTTGAATCATACCCTATATATATATATATATATATATATATATATATATATATATATATATATATATATATATATATATATATATATATATATATATATATATATATATATATATATATATATATATATATCCTATACATACATATATACTCATTCATTACATATACATCATATAAATTTTCTGCCCATCATTTGTGGGCGGGCCCGGCCCGCAAAAACGGGCCTAACCCTATGTCCATACCCGCCCATAAGAGCGGGCCGGGTAGTCCACCGGGCCGCCCGGCCCGGAAATACTTTAATTCTTTCAAAATTATACTCCCTACGTCCCTTATAACTTTGTCATCTTTCCTTTTTAGGATGTCCCAAAAATTTTGTCACTTTCCCTTTTCATCAATGAATTTGTGGTTCCTGTCATTTCTCTCTCCTCTGCACATATCTCAACCACACAATTTCTACTTTATTATTTCTCATGCCGGTTAAACATGACAAAGTATTGAGGGACGGAGGGAGTATGATTTTTTAAATACTTTAAAAATAATATTACAACATTTAGAAAATAATTAAACCGCTTATAATATTTACACGTCATTCACCACATACAAAAAAAATACTTACACAAAAATAATAATGAGAAACTATATCTAAAATTTAAAATTTAAGCACAAAATATTATCTTTAAGTACAAAAATAGATATTATATTGGTTGGGCTAGTTGTTAAGAACTAAAAATTTAAATTTAAACATAATAAACTATAAATGTGTACGAAGAAAAATTAGTAAATATAAATATACATGTGTATGTGCAAATAAACAAATAAATAAATTAGTGTGTGTGTGTGTGTGTGTATATATATATATATATATATATATATATATATATATATATACTAAATGTAGCGGGCTGAGCTTATCGGCCTGAACGGGCCTACACCCTAACCCAAGCCCGCCCATATATTATTGCGGGCCGGGCTCGGGCCGGTCCGGTTGGTAAATAAATATGTCCAAGCCCGTCCATTTGTGCGGGCGGGTTGGGCGGGCCGGGCGGGTCGGCCCGGTTTTGTCCAGTTTTTTTTATTCAAAAAAGTTGATACGAGTATCGGAAACTTTCAAAAAATTACAAAAAAAATGGAAACTTTTAAAAATTACAAATACGACCCGGGAACGTACAGTACGGGTATCCTAGAATATCGGATACGGGAACGTATCCGATACGCCGATACGCTACCTTAGGGAAGTATCTGTGGTTCATGGGTATGTACCAATAGATTTTTTTCAACGAGAGCCTCGTCTCCCACTCCAATGACGCCAATACGTGCCAAACTTCCACGGCGGATACACATCACGTTGATCGTTATATCGATCTATTATTGCGTACGGAGAATATTATACGGAGTATATATAATAAAATAACATATTCCTCTCTTTTTTCTTCGAAATGAATACATACTCCATACATTCCATTCGATCATCCCCTCTCTTTGCGTATACGTGATGTCCTGGACTGCGGCGCGCCCATTTCCTCTCAGCTAGCTCGCTTATATTTTCTGGGAAAGCTGTTTCCTTTACCCCTTTGGAGACGTAAGCTTTGTATTTAGATTTTAGCACCACTATTTCGGATTACGCTTCCTCAATCATGCACCCATTTGGACATCGATTTCGTGTAGGAATTGGGGATTTTGATTGTTTGATTGGTGGGAATTCCCGATAAGCCCTTCCTTTTCCAACTTTCCTTCTGGTTTGGTTTGCTGGCAATTCAATTGGAATGCCAGAGATCAGAGTGGAAGGGTAGCCTGGTGGTGACCTCTTTGCTTGCTTCTTGTTGATGATTTCCGGGTCAAATTTAATGTTCCTCTTCTTCTCAGCAATCTGAGCTTAATCTACGCCGAGAATAATATATACAAAAGGTTAGTTAGATTTTCTTCTTAATGCCTTCTTAAACTAAAGATTTCTGCTTAGGAGAAGCGGATAATGTGATAAGCATTTCTTAATCGTGACTAGTTTCTGCCAGTTGGTTGGAAATTGGAATCCTTACTGTAGACTGTTTGTTATGTTGCTTATTACGTACTCAGTAGTATAATATTTTAGTATCTTCGCCTTGGAGAACCTCCACTAATCCAATTTTTGCTAAATTATGCTTATAAGTCATTTTTGTCTGTTCAATAAGCATACCCTCCATCCAAACAACATTTTTCTATATCCATCTAGATTAAGTTCACTAGGTATAATTTAATTCATTCCATCCAAACGGACTGCTGCAATAAAGGGAAGCATATACTATTATGAGCATTTCTTAATTATGACCTGTTTATGTCAAATGTTATGGTTGGAATCTCCATTTGTTATGTTGCTTGTTATCAAGTTCTTTGTATTCATTGTGTTTCTCTCTAGATAGATAAACCCCTAAGGCCCTAAGATTGATCCTTTTTGTGTTCAGGTAATAATGGATATTAGCAACGAGGCTAGTCTTGAGTTTTCCAAAATCGGACCATACACTATTGTGGGTCGAATAATTGCTTTCAGAATCTTGTTCTGCAAGTCACTTTCACAATTGAGGTTTCAGATTTATCACTTCTTGCTCCACTACTTGACTAAGCTCAAGAATCATTACTTAACACCTTTGCTATCATGGTTTCATCCCCGGCACCCTCAAGGAATATTAGCATTAGTAACACTCATTGCGTTCTTATTGAAACGGTATACTAACATAAAAGTGAAAGCTGAGATGGCATATAGAAGGAAGTTTTGGAGGAACATGATGGAATCTGCACTTACCTATGAAGAATGGGCTCATGCTGCTAAGATGTTAGAAAGAGAGACTCTTAAAGTGAGAGAATCAGACCTTTATGATGTAGAACTTGTTATGAATAAACTTCAAGAGCTTCAGCATCGTCGCAGAGAAGGTTCTCTTAGAGACATTATGTTCTGTATGAGAGCTGATCTGGTCAGAAACCTTGGAAACATGTGTAACCCTAAACTACATAAAGGAAGGCTACACGTTCCAAAACTTATTAAGGAATATATTGACGAAGTCTCAACTCAGTTAAAAATGGTTTGTGATTCTGATTCGGAGGAACTTTTGTTGGAGGAGAAGTTAGCTTTTATGCATGAAACAAGACACGCCTTTGGCAGGACCGCTTTACTTCTAAGTGGGGGGGCTTCCCTTGGTTCTTTTCATGTCGGTGTGGCCAAAACGTTGGTCGAACACAAGCTTCTACCTCGCATAATTGCAGGCTCCAGTGTTGGGTCCATAATATGTTCGATCATAGCGACCAAATCTTGGCCTGAGCTCCAAAGTTTCTTTGAGGATTCTTGGCGCTCCCTACAGTTCTTTGACCAAATGGGTGGGATCTTTACAGTTTTCAGGAGGGTGATGACACATGGCGCTGTTCATGAGATCAGACAGTTACAGTGGATGTTACGACACCTCACTAATAATTTGACTTTTCAAGAAGCCTATGATATGACAGGTCGGATTTTGAGCATTACTGTTTGTTCCCCGAGGAAGCATGAACCTCCTAGGTGTTTAAATTACTTGACTTCGCCTCATGTTGTTATATGGAGCGCAGTTACTGCTTCTTGTGCATTTCCTGGGCTTTTTGAGGCCCAAGAGCTTATGGCTAAAGATAGGAATGGAGATATTGTCCCTTATCATCCCCCGTTTCATTTGGGGCCCGATGAGGCTTCTGGTGGTGGTGGTGCTCGTAGATGGAGGGATGGTAGTTTGGAGATTGATTTGCCTATGATGCAGTTGAAGGAGTTGTTCAATGTTAATCACTTCATTGTGAGTCAAGCTAACCCACATATTGCTCCTTTACTGAGATTGAAGGAATTTGTGAGAGCTCATGGTGGCCACTTTGCTGCCAAGGTATAATGTATATCACCTTTTAGGAGATTTTTTTGCCTAAAGGTAAGGGAGGACATTTTGGATCGTTTTGACACTTTGACTGAACCAAAACTGTACTAATCCAAAGTGCACCGGAACCATATGCAATTTGTTTTTAGTTTGGTAATGGTTTTTCAAAACCGTACTGATCAGAGCTTACCAACCGGAACTTAAAAATACAAAAAAATCTTGACATATACTCCCTCCGGTCCTAAATAAAGTTCACACTTTCCTTTTTGGGCCGGTCCAAAATAAAGTTCACACTTCTTCTTCCTTATTTGGCAAATTATCTACATCAAAACAGTGCAAAACAGTGCCAAACAGTTTCAAACAGAGTACTCTACAGTAAAGTCAAATTTATTTCCTTAATTTGTGTGAAGTCAAACACTGAACTTTATTTAGGACCAGAGGGAGTATGTAAAAACAACAAATCCAAACAAAACATAAATCGGTTTTAATTTGGTATTATTCGGCCAAACTATTTAAACCAAGTTGAAACCCAAACCAAACTGAAGTTACCTAACACGAAATGCCACCCTTATCTTAAGAAGGCATGAAACATTGCTTTCCATTAGCCTTTTCAAAGTGCTGTGGAATTTTAAATGGTTTAGTATGATTTGCCATACTGCAGCTTGCTCATCTAGTAGAGATGGAGGTCAAGCACAGATGCAATCAGGTACTGGAACTTGGATTTCCTCTAGGAGGTCTAGCCAAGCTGTTTGCTCAAGAATGGGAGGGTGATGTCACTATCGTGATGCCTGCTACTCTTGCTCAGGTCTGCTCAAGTCAAATTTGTTCTTTACTCCTCAAACTAGTAATTTTTATAGGGTATGTTTGGTTCTTGGGAAATGCTAGTGAAAAGAGAGAAACGTTAAACAAAGTTTTATTAAAATGTCTGGTCTTACCGATGAAAATGGAAATGCAAGTGAAATATGATTAGTTTTTTAAAAACCTTTAGATTTCTTAGTCTATTTGTAGTAGACAAAAATCAATCAAATGCATATCTAGAAACATTTTTTTACTTTTAAGTTTAACCTATATGTTTTATTTTCTCCCACATTTCTTTTCTTCCCAATTCCTCTTTGTTTTTCTTCCTATTTTATTTTTCTAGGGTTTTTACGGGCTCCATAGTTAGTTGATAATCCAAGAGTGAGCCCCCCTTTGTGAAAACTTACGCAATATGTGCACTTGTTCTGAATAATTAGTGATGCATGCCAGGGATGTGTGTGGTGCCAACAAGTGTATTTGAGATTAATCAGGACTCATTATTATTTACATTGGACTAGTGTTTTTTGTATTTTAGTTACGACAAGATTATTAGCTAGTTGTTTTGTTTAATAGTTATTCATCCCCTTGAATCATCATTGGACCATTATTCTTTATTGTTCATGGCCAAGTAAGTACTCCCTCCGTATTTTAAAGTTTGCTACACTTTCCTTTTTAGGATTTATTTAAAAGTTTGCTTCACTTTCCCTTTTTGGTAATTTTTTTCTAAAAAATACTCAATTACCCTTGCTTTTTCTACTTTTCCACCATCTCTCTTACTTTTTCTACACTATTCATTACCTCTACAGCTTTACTATTTCCTTCTTAAATAATGTGCCAAAACCTAAATTAGCAATCTTTAAAATACGGAGAAAGTATTATTTATGTACTAGTATAATTCTTATTTCAGATAAATAAGGATTCATAGGGTTGTGGGTTGGGTTTGAACTTCCCTTTAGGCATAAGGATGTTTTTACTTGGACTGTTTTCAGTCCCAGGCCAAACTTGGATAGTTATAAAATACATAGAGACTAGACATTTACCAGACCAGTTCAGACTACACCGACCAGACCAGCAAATTTCAGTCCAAGTAAAAACATCCTAAGACAATAAAAAAATACATCTATTGATTGGTCAAAATGGGTTGGTTGAATTTATCTTGGAAATCTTATTTAGCACTCGTTATATTCAATATAAGACACAATACAGAGAGATGAATCATCAATTTCACGTTTATATGCTTGATCTTAGTGTGATTTCGTTTTGGCCCAAAAAAGATTTAAATCTTTTTAGTCGTCAAATTGGTCTATATCTGTCGTTAAAATATGGTCCGAGGCTATTAAAACTCTATACTTAAAATAAGACAATGTAGAGAATTGAATAATCAGTTTCACAAAAGTTCATTTACTTGATGAGTTACTACTGTTGAAATTCATGGTCAAGTATTTTATTCAAGTGTATTCTCTTTAACAATTTGAAGTTCAAATTTCATGTTCTGAAACCAGTATTCAAAAATAATACAAAACCCATCAACTGTGGAGCTCCAGAAGGCGGCAAACCAAGGAAGGAGATGTACATGGGAGAAGCTCTCAGCTATAAAGGCAAACTGTGGCATTGAGATTTCTCTTGACGAGTCGGTTGCCATACTCAACCACATGCGTAGACTCAAAAGGAGCGCAGAGAGAGCTTCAGCTGCTTCAGCCTCTTCCCCTCATGGTTTGACAACCACTGTCCAGAGATTCAATGGTTCTCGAAGGATCCCTTCTTGGAACTGCATCGCTCGCGAGAACTCAACAGGGTCTCTTGACGAGTACCTACCTTCTCTTCCTGCAGCCCATGGTGGTCCAACAGATGCTCATCCCCAGGGAACTCAAAGTCGGTGCAGTGACAGTGAATCAGAAAGTGATCTTACTTCCTGGACGAGGGCAGGCGGCCCGTTGATGAGGACGACATCAGCAGATAAGTTTGTAGAGTATGTCCAGAACTTGGATACCATCGCGGCCCCAAGGTTGAACCAAGAGGTGATGACAGGCAGCCGAGGAGGAATATTCTCCCCTGGTCTTAGGGTGAACACACCAGATTCTAGCAGCAGCGTCTTGGTGGTGGGAGAAGGTGACCTGCTGCAGGCTGAGAGGATGCATAATGGGATCGTGTTTAACGTTGTGAAGAAAGAAGATTTGACGTCTACATCATCAAATAGTTCGTCTTCTGGTGCGGTACATAATAATGACTTTGTAGCACCTGAGGAATGTGTGCAACTTGATAGTCTAGGAAAAGAAATGGATGCTACTAGCTCTGCCTCTGATGATGATGCTGATAATGACATTACCAGAGTGGGCGAGAAATATGGTAATTAACTAAACCATGTTTCAGATTTAGTAAGGCAGTAGTTGCTTGTCACTTACAGTCATCCCGATCACTTATATGGTCAATTTCCTTGTAATTTTCAATCAATTTTCACAGGATAAGTGGCAGGGAATGTCAAAAAATGGAAAGAAATCGTAATGGTGCAACCAAAGTGAAAACGGAAAGTTATGAATAAAAAATGAGTCCTTAAAAAACAAACGAGGATGGCCTAATAGTAATGGGACCAAAATGGAATGTTTTCTTATATTCTTGACATGAGAGCACCAAAACTGAGCTGGGTCCGATGCTTGTCATCACATGTTTGATTGAGGCCGTCAAATCAAAGATCAGACAGACGTTTCTATGTGAAGGTAGTTTAGTGGGGTTGGCCGCAGCGTAACCGTCCGATCATAATCTGATGGCCTCGATGAAGACACGCATATGGTGCTTATCCCAAAGACAGGGTTCCAGACCGTGTACCCAATCCTACAAGGGTACTACATGGGCCTTAATTTGATTCTTCTATAAGAGCTGCTTCTTGTACAGTTGAATATACTCTGACTCTCTTTCGTTCTATGTATATATCAAAAATGAATGTTTAAGTTTGATAACTGGTTCTTTTTATCTTTCTTCTTGTGGTTCTCATGATGATATTTTATAATTATTACTCCATTATTAATTTGTTATCAATAATCATTACACCTCACCCATGATATAATATCTATTCTCCATTCATTATCTCCTCACCCAAAACTTCTTTTGCCATTCTACAATAGCAATGGTTAACAGTATGTTTTCATACTGGGGCCATTTGTTTTTTAGCGTTTGATGGCCAAAAGCTAGAAATATCAGTGTTTGCTTTGTAACGTTTTGGCCAACACCATCCAAAGGGAGCCACTGTTCCCCTCTAGTTATAGAACAAGAGGAATGTCTTGAGGGTTTGCCGGGTGTTACAAAGAAGAAAGGGGAGGTTCGCTTTGATTCAAAGTTCACTAAACCTTTCCGATGTTTCCTGGGTTGTCAAATTAGGGAAACCTAATATTTTGTTGATGTTGCTTTCTTTAAGCTTATTATTGCTGCGATTTTTCTAGGATTAATATGCTGATTTGGGAGGACTTTTGTTTTGAATTTGTGGTATCCCACACACGGGGACATGTACTTTGGTTGTAACATTGACTTGTTATTTCTTTTGATGTTAATATATACTTTACATTTCACCAAAAAAAAAAAGAACAAGAGGAATGGGTAAGAGCGGCCTGGTGAGACGGGAGGAGGTGGTGGGGCTAGGGAAGTTGACACAGAAGGGAATGGCGGGGGCCATGAACAGACAATGATGGACAAGAGGACAGACAATGATGGACAAGAGGACCAGTTAGGGGTGTTGAGGATTGATGGTGTGGAAGTCTAAGCCGGGTCAAGAAACATGATAGAGAAATGGTCTGAAGTTGTTCTGTTCACCTTATACATGTTTCTTATTTTGATTTTTTAAGATTTGGTATGATACCAATTTTCTTATCTGATTTAAATCTTTCTGATCCGATTGAATCTGAATTTTCTAATTTGATCTGGTTAGAATAAAATAAAATAAACAATAAGATTAAGATGAACCCAACAACTAAATAAACCTTATAAAACGAGGGTAAAATACATCCTACAGCCGGCTGTACCGTGCACATGGTACAATCGGACTTTTCTTGGCTTTTGTTCTTCGTCGATCTAACTACGCACCAGATTTCTACGATTCAACCATCCTCTCTGAACAGCACGTTGCGACCTTAATCCCTCATCGTCCTCATCTGTCATCATCGATCGAGCATCATCATCATCCTCTATTCTCCCATTCGAACTTCTTGTGGCTTTCGCGCACTGCGCCGCTAGAAGTTGGTTTCCAATTGCTACGCTATTGGATTTTTTTGTCTTTGGATGGTCCAGTTGCTTTGTAAATTGGTTTCGAATTGCTATGTTACTCGAGCACCAAAGATCTTTGGACTTTGGATTTTTATGTATGGGCTATATATTAATGGGCTTCTTATTATAATTACATGAACATACACAAATGAATATTTGAGCAAAATAGAGATTTTAAATGTGTTTTCATTTTTTATCGATACTCATTTTGTAAGTTACGTATGCTCATTTGATATTAGTGTTATGCTCATTTTAAAATATCAACCACGTAGGAGTACAAATCATGATACTCAATTGCAAGTTTTTGATACTCAATAGATAAGGTATGATGTTCAATGAAAATGTCTTGATGCTCAACTAAAAAAATTATGATTTTCATATCAATGTTCATTTTGTAAGTCACGTATGCTCAATTGCTAATGACGTTATACTCATTTTTAAAATGTCATATCAATGCATATTTGAAAAGTACAATACTACATTAGATTCGCATATTGAAGTTTAAAAGTGTTGATTATAGATAAAATTTAATAAGTTATTAAGAAAAAGAAAGTGAATTCAAAAATACGAAGCAGTGATCACGATGCTCATTTTTAGACTTTTAATGCTCAACAAAATATGTATGATGCTCACTAAATCTGCATTCATGCTCATTTAGCTGAAGACGTGAATTTTAATTAATTTACAAAAATGTCACCGGTTGTACGGTGATCACCATACAGCCAGCTGTACGGTATAAGCTTTCATAAAACGAGTGTATTTTGTCACATGAAAATTGGGTTGCACTAAACCTCATGTGTCAATTGTGTGGGTCATCGAGTAGAGCTTTAGAGTATGCACAAGGTTTTTACCAAAAAAAGAAAGAAAGAGTATGCACAAGGAGCATATTAAACTCAAGTCCTTCAAAATGGGATGTAATTTATTACCTCAAAATAACAATAGGAGTAGGGAGCGATGTGTAATTTATTACCTCAAAATAACAATAGGAGTAGGGTGAGCACCATGCACCCTTGTTGTTTTTTATCTCCTTTTCTTAAAATTGTTTATAATTTTTTTTATTTTTGATCTGATTTTTATAAAATTTATATCAAATTTTTTTATTTTTCATGATCTTTCAAACGAGACCAATATTGCCTATGTAATTTTAACATATTAACATTTGCGTGTAAAAATATGTAATTTAATTTTTGTCTCAATATTTTATGTGATGTAAATCCTATATACTGAAATGTAACTCGTGTTGTTATAAAATGTAATCTTAGTTAACTACAAATGTAACTCGCTGCCTGGAATGTAACTCATATTACACCCTCTAGTGGTTCTCTCACCTTTTATACGAAATGTAAACCGCGTGTTACAAGATGTAACTTTTATCAAATTGATATGTAACTCAAGTGTATCCAAAATGTAACTTGAGAAATTTCGAAATTGTAAGGTGCATTAATTAAAAAGTTAATTCAGGGAAATCGAAAATGTAAATCATGTTAATCAAAATGTAACTTGATGTTGATACAAATGTAACTTGCGTGTAGAAATATGTAACTTACGTGTAAAAATATGTAACTTCACATATAAAAATATGTAACTCACATGTAACTCAATGATTTTTTATATATACAATTTTAAGATAAATTGTGATTTACACAATTATTTTTTTGTAATAAATTTAGTTCGGTTTTCCTTATAATCCAATAATCATTTATATAATAGTTCCATAATATGTTAAAATTACATAAGCAATATTGGTCTCATTTGAAAGATCGTGAAAAATAAAAAATGTTGATATAAATTTTATAAAAATCGGATCAAAAATAAAAAAGTTATTACCATTTTTTAACAATAAAAGCAAAAAAAAATGAAACCAAGCCATGCTCCGTCATTTTGCATCAATGCGTCTTCTCTTGTTACGTTTTGGGATCGGGAACAACATCCTTATGATGCGCCGATCTCAGGATATAATTTACCGAATCTGAGTGAACATTAGATTTATCTTAAATTTATGACGAAGTATTAAATTAATAAATTTAACTTTTAGTCATGGGTATTGTACAAATTCTAAATTTGGTATATTGTTTTTTGTTTTTCCACGATAAATTACTATTGATGTTGTCCACATATGGTCACTCCGCTTATATTTGTGGTGCTTAGAATCATTGGATAAAGTGGAAAAAGTGAAAGGCGCAAAGCAAATATGAAATTGATTAGGACTAAATTGAAATTAATTCTTTTTAAATCATCTCTCAACTTTTGTTCAAATATCTCTAACTCCTCTGTTTAATTTTAAAAGTAATTACATATTTATGATTAAAATAGAGATTGTTTAGTCACGTATTATAATAGTAACTTTAGCATAGTAACTTAAGAGCCCGTTTGGTAGCACGAAAATCGGCTGTTTTGGCTGATTGTGCTGAAATTTATGAAGTTGTGGTTGAAGTGGCTGTAATGACTGATTCTGCTGATTTAAGAAAAATTTATTTTTAAAATATATTTTCTTAATAAAATAAAGAAAAAATCACATGTAAAAATAGCTAAAATGATCATCTACAGTAACTTCAGCCAATACAGCCAGAAAAGTAACCTCAAACTTACTTTTTCTGCTTATTACACAATTCAGCGCGTGAAAGCAAAAATTACGTGTTTGGTGAAAAAGTTGGCTGATAAGCCTGATAAGCCGAAAAACAGTGTTGCCAAACGGCCTATAAATGTAGTTCAATGTTTAAACTTTAATGATCATGACATTATATTGTAACTAATAAGTATATTTGTGTAAATAAATTTTATTTTAATTTTATTTTAATTCTTAATTCGATCCTATTAAGCGAACTGAGAGGGGGGTTTTATTTTAGTTGGACTATGATATAACTACTGATAATTACTACCTCCGTCCCACTATGATTGTCCCATTTTACTTTATCGGTTCGTCCCACTTAAATTATCTCATACCAAATTTGGTAAAATTTGTGTGACTGTAAATCATTCTTACTTTAATTCTTACTTTATCAATTCAAATCAACCACATAAAACATGTTTTATTAACGGAACAAAGGAGTAGTTCTAATCAATCCAATAAAAAGATTGAAAAGTCCAAAAAGCATAGCAAACTGCCACTTGTTTTCCATGGAGAGTACGAAGTAATTTACGTACGTTAAACCTATGTCCCTTTTAATCAAAGGTGGACACAAAATAATCATTGAAATTTGTACCATATACTCCGTATAATTTTCAGGAACACGACGCCAATTTTGTCAATCCCATGGTTAATAAAAGATACAAATACTCCCTTCGGTTCTAAATAAAGTTCAGTGTTGACTTCACACAAATTAAGAGAATATAAAATACACTGTTGTGACTTGTGACATTGTTTGACACTGTTTGACATTGTTTTACACAGTTTTACATGATTTTGATGTAGATAATTTGTCAAATAAGGAAGAAGAGGAAGTGTGAACTTTATTTTGAACCGACCTAAAAACTGCAGCGATGGAACCACATGGCATGGCCGCATGGGATTGACTTTTGTCGAAAAAATACAATGTCTTTCAATTATGGTATTACTCCATCGCTATCATTTTAATTGTCCAACTTTTTTTGGGACATAAAATTATTTGTTTCATTTCTTTTTAAAAAAACTCACCTAACAAGTAGCTACAGTATTAATAGTATTGACACAACACCAAAAACATCTTATTTTTTATAAAATGTATAGTAATTATCTTAAATTAAGTGAGAAACGAACTAAAGTAATACGGAGGGGTATATTTTCTTACCATCGGACCACATAATAAAATAATCATCTT